CTTTAGCTAATTAGGACCAGGCATGAAGGGATTAACGAGATTCCCATTGTTCCTATCTACTATTCTACACAACTGCGGCAGGGGGGGAGCAGGCGGTCTCTTCTTCATAATATGCAGCCGCGATATTGTTGCAACAGTCATTGTACGATTGAACCCTGTTGAGATCCGGGGTAAGTGATTAGAGAGGGGTGAGTCCTGATTGAGCGCAACCTTTCTAGGCCCCGTAACAGGGTTCCTATTAGAGGCTGCAGCGAAAAGAAGTGATCAAGCTCGACAAGGACGAACAACGTTACGATTTGGGGAAGTAGTCATGCTTTGCAAAGGGGTTACCACTGTGACTTGGAGGTCAGTCAGGGATACCGCGTTTATTGGCCACCATTGCAAGGCCCTCAGGCGTTTGAAGAGTTCAAGGCCCTCTCACGCGAGTCTGAGCGCACCTTCCTTGTATCTGAGCGACTTAATGTCTCTCCCTCTGCCCTTCTTACTCTCAGTCTAGTCTAATTGGTTTGGAGAGGAAGGCGTCAGGCGGGATTGCAAGCCGTAATCCTTGCCAAAGCCTCTGTGGGAGGTTAACCCCACCGATTGCAAAAGCTCTGCCGGAATCTAGGCGAGATTCAATGCCTAATGTGAACCCATTCTACCCCTATTTTGATTACATCCATTTAGTTTGTCTGAGACGTATGGATGCGTTCCCCTATGATTTTGTTGTCATTTCATAACCTAATCCGATTAATTGGAAGGAATGCATACGTAAATTTCAGTTTCATTTTATTTGGACTGAAATCACACTAAGGGATGAACTGGAGAAAGATGGGAAGAAGGCGGTTTTGCATGCGTTTGACCGGGTCGATCAAAGGTTGGGTATTGTTTTTAAGTTGAATGGCCCAGTGCTATGTTTCTTGTTTGTTTTATGAAGGACCGGGCATTGGCTTTAAGATGAATGACCTGGTTGCTATGTTTATTTTATAGGGTTTGCCTGTCTGATTTTGAGACTAAGCATTGTTTCTAAGCTCAATGGCTTTGTCAATCTGTTTCTTTTTGGGTTTCTGACTGAAGTTAGGCTGAATGGTTCATACTCATGCTTTTATGTGACTTGGGATAGACTGGACATTGTTTCCAAGCCGAATGGTTTAGCCTGAAGCCACACACTAAAGCATAAATGAGTATAATTGAAAATACTTTATCTATATTTTCATGTGAACATGCAGTTGACGTTGTTTCCAAGTCGAATGGTTCAGCTTAAGCCATATCACTAAGAACAGAGAGAAAGTTAAGAGTATGATTGGCAGTAAAAGTTGGGCAAGTTGAGCATTGTTTCTAAGTTGAATGGCTGTTCTCTGCCCATATTTTAAAGACAAGTCAAATAATTAAATCTTGGATATTTAAACAGTTGAGGGTCACTAAGCAGGGTTTCTACGTTGAATGGCTTAGTCAGAGAGAAGTAGTTGCGCAACCTGTTCGTTTATAATCTAAGCATGCAAGACATTGCTTCTAAGCTGAATGGTCTAGTGCCATGCCATATGTGAGATGGGTAGCACGGATAATCACCAGGAGGAGCAATGAATTATCTTATAAAGAAACAACTTGGGATTTTGGTGAGAGTACTTACCCATTGTGATATGGACTTGCATGTGGTTGAGTGAGAGCTCTACTTGCTTTGAATCTTAGCTTCGATAGGTAGTTGCTTTACATGGTCGCCATGTGCTGAAGCCATAGGAGTTAGTTCAATTTCTGCATTTTCTGGGATAAGTTCATTGTCTCATACTTGGCTTTGTATAAATTTTGGAAAGACACTTTTGCTAATGGAAGTGCTGCCCAAACTTATGCAAATCCAAAGAGTTAGTCAAATTTTCCCTTTGTCTGAGTTCATATATGGCTTAGTAAAAATATGGAGAACCCACTTTTCTAAGGGAGGTGCTGCCCAATTTTTTACTAAATCAGGGAGTTTAACAAAATTTGACCTTGTTAAAAAGCACCTTCTCTAGAGCGAGTGCTGCCAAATTTTTCTTAGTTTTGAAAAGTTAGATTATATTTTGATCGGAAGGATTCTGGCGATCCACCTTGTATAGAGAAAATGCTGCCGAAATTTTCCTTATTCTTTTGGCGCTCATTGAGAGGTGGATTTAGATTTAGTCTTAGGAGAAATTTGAATGAGGTATGATATGGGGATTTATTCTCCATACACTTAAAAGTATAGCATTGGGATTTGGCCTTTGCTGTAAAACGGGTCCTTCTTGGCCATTTCGATTAAAGATCTGATTAGTTTTAACTTGATCCTACGAGGATCATCTTTTGTTATATTTTGACAACACGTCAGTTGGTTGTCGATTTGTCGTTTTACACCACAACTTTGCTTAGACTTGTACCTCAACTTGATGTCTTAACCCTAGTTTGATATATTTCTTTAAAGGTTTTACCAGACTTCTTTCAATGGCCATTTTAAAAAATCGATGGTTTTTATGAAAAGTTTGACTATGGTTGGGGCTTAAGTGTGTAAGGCGTGGTGTGAGCTACCAGAAATAGTAAAGTCGACCACATTGATGTATGAATGTGGCTTTCGTGTGTCTGTACGTTTTGTGCAGGTTAGTGTTTTGGAGCTTTATGTACGAGCCTTCCCTTGGAGGCAGTAAGAATGACAACCATATATCGCACAATCTACATACCTGATGGGCATATCTTTTACCCTTTTTATTTTATCTGGAATTTTTATCGATATGTGGGTACTGAGGCACAAGTTTATTTACTGATTGACTTTGTGTTTCCTTTTTTTTTGCTTGTTAAGTGTTATAGTTGGACATTCAGGTCCGTAGCGACTCTTAAAGTCAAACCCCTTAACTTGTTTTCAGGTCTCCGCTCGCGATTGTCTAGCATCGAGAGGTTAACCCCTCAAGATGTGTCATCCGACACTTGAGCGTCGAAAGCGACCCTTACAGACGTGTGTCAACACCATTGAGGGCCACATGATTATGGCTACTACATAGTACGACATCCTTACGACTGCTTGTGTATTCATGAATGGCTAGCCGTATGACTAAGGCCTACGTCGCCGCAAGATTTATTCATAATTTCGCTTCCGACGTTCGATTATGTTTCTGTGTAAAAAAGGTTATGGGTTAGATACAAAAAGGGACTAGGCGCGATTTGCATGTGAAACTTTGGTTTTATTTTCGCATGGTGTAGCGCGTGGTTAGATGGACCGTCCTAGTCGACCGACGCCGAGTCTCGCTTGGGACATCAGCTCCCAGAGCGACGGCTCGCGTACGGGTCTGATTAAGGTGTAAGACCGCTCGTACCCCCTATGCTACAACGTATGAGAAACACCCTCGACTGGGCCACCTCTGCAATTGCAACTGAGTAACTTTCACACGTGGTTCTTGGGCGGAGGTAAGTTGTACCTCACATGACCCTATCCTGTCGTAGGGGTTCGCGAGAGGTATGGCTGGCACACTCGGCCAGAGGGTTATCACGCAAGATTTTTGCAGGACTTTTTCTCGGTGTTCGAGGGTTATCACGCAAGATTTTTGCAGGATTTTCGCGAGCGGCGAAAGCTCCACCACGAAAGAGTCTTGCAAAAATCTTGCGTGACACAGTCGGGAGGTTCCCCCTGCGGGGCCGATGCACTCAAAACATGAGAGGAGAGAGAGAGGGAAAGACGAAGAAGATAATGAATGGAAGAAGAAGAAGAAGTTGTACACCAACAAAGACCAATGACGCCTCCCTGTTCATGGCTTCTAGGTCCGTCGTGGTCAGCAGTCCATCGCCCAGCCTATACTTCCTCCGCATCCCATCCTTAAATCGGGCCCAACTGCCATTCGCCGCATTTACAACCTTCTCCACCTCCTAATGGTGGACATGAAGTACATACTTCAGGATGCGCTTGAATTTTACTTCATCCGGTAATCCCACCAAGGCTTGCTCCACCAACTCCAACCAATCAGAGACTCGTTCCCCGTTGAAGTGGAAAGTGTCGACTTTGGGGACATTGCTTGGCGTCCTTTCCCGCTTGTCCATCGCCTCAATGAGGTCCTCAAGTGTCAAAACTCTCCCTTCGCCATCTGCTATAGGCCCCGACATCCTCACGGTTCGCCTTTACTCGCCTTTCCCTGCTTGAAGACCACGTTGTCTTATTTAGCAATCCGATTCTATCATACCTTACATCAGACCCCTACCATAACTAGCCTACGACTCAGGCCCAACAGGTCCTACCCCATTTCCTCTCCTATAGGATTTATTATTAATACGCCCCGTTTCTCCTTACAGGGTCCTCATAACTTTCCAGTTTAAGCCATCAGTCCATTTCAGAGATACAATAGCTATTTTATCACAGATAATCGGGCAATATATTATGTGCTTAGTCTTTCCTCATATGCTTATTTTCTCTCAATCTTACACTCGGATGTCGTTCCACCAGGGACAACGGTAGGCTTCTGTTATCCCCGGCAACTGCGCCACCTGTTGAACGCATCGGTCCGGCACCGCACAGGGGCACCGCGGGACCCTCCCGACCGCATCACGCAGGAGTTGGTTCTAAATCCTCGTCGCGAATATGCACGAAGCTTCCGTAAGCCGCTCCGGCCGAGTGCGCCAGCCATACCTCTCGCGAGCCCCTACGACAGAATAGGGCCTACGCGAGGCACGTCTTACCTCCACCTTACGGGAGCTGTCACCTCCCTTCGGTGGGCGTATCCCCGCCCAACTACCAGTCCACAGTACGAAAGCTAATCAGCTGCAATCGCAGAGGTGGACCAGCCGATGGCGTTTCTCGTTCGTTGTAGCATAGGGGGTACGTGCGGTAGTACGCCTCTAATAGACCCGCACGCGAACCGATATCTTGCGGGGCTGAAGTCCCAAGCGCGACCCGTCGTCGATCGACTAGGACGTATCCCACACACCACGCGCACACCACTATAAAGTACATAAAAATAAAAACACACACAGACACACATTTTTACTGGTTAGTCGCGACAATGGTGACGAGCAATGATAGAAAAACGGGGTACAAACTTCCGATAATACGACGCGAGACCAAGGAAAGAACGCAATTCGCGAATGTTCGCAAGCTGAGGCCAATCACGTATGACCTCAATCTTGGTTGCCTCAAGCTCTAGGCCTGCCGCAAACAACGGATGCCCAAGATAGATGACGTTATCCTTCCCAAACTCGGATTTCTCCAAGTTGAGATGGAGTTGCGTCTTCTTGAGGATAGCGAGCACCTCATTAAGATGCTTGAGGTGTTCCTCCATGGACTTGCTGAAGATCGGAATATCATCCACGTACACTACCACAAGACGACCAATTTGTTCGCGGAGGACCTTGTCCATGAGGCTTTGGAAAGTGGCTGGTGCGTTTGTGAGACCGAAGGGCATTACGGTGAACTCATAAAGCCCGTCGCGTGTTTTGAACGCGGTCTTGTGCTGGTCCGCAGGATCGACTTCAATCTGGTGGTAGCTAGACTTGAGATCGATCTTGGAGAAGACCTCGCACCTGCCCGCGGCGTCCAACAGGTCATCTGTGCGGGGCAAAGGGTAAGCGCTCGAGGGAGGCAATCGGGGTGGCCCTAAGCCATTTGGCTAGCGCAGTCTTTTGGAACCCAGCCCGCATCGCTTGGACTTCTAGGAAGCCCCGTACGACCGGCTCGACATTTATTCCCATGACCACCGCTTGGGTCTCAGGTCGAGTCCCCAGAATCTCGAAGTAGGCCCTCATGGAGCTGATCCAGGACTCGATGTCTTCCTTGCCGTCGTACTTAGACGACACTTGTACCGCCTTTCGGTCCACATAGGGACCGGCGTAGCTGGGACCAGCACCTGCTGGTTCCAATCTTGGGGCTGCAGCAATTGCGGAATTTCCAGCCTCGTTGCTTGTCACAACAACAATGGAATCTGCACCTGTTGCAGGTCCCGAGGGGGTTGCCAACACATTCAAGGAAGAAGATACAATAAGAGGGGCCGAGGTCGTTTCGATTGCAGCTTCAGATCCAGGGGGTAGAGGAAGAGGGGTGGCCATTTGGGCTTGTCGCAGCTCAGCCACCTCCTTTGTCAATTCATGGTACTTGCGGGTCATATCAGTCAGATCATCTTGAAGTGTCTGCAACTTTGCAAAGACTACAGCGATCTGAGTGGTATGATCCTCAAGGTTTCTGACTTGAACAAGGGCGGTGAGTATAGACTGCAACTGTTCCCCACACTGCTCTTCAGTCAGTGAGGGAACAGTCTCTAGGATGGCCACCTGCCTTTTCAGCAAGGTCTCCTTCCTCTCCTTCTCTGCCTCCCGTTCCCTTTTAATTGCACTATCTAGGAGTGCTTATAGATATGGTTTTTCGGCATCACTGGCTGCATCTAACAACGCCCGCCATTGCACGGAAGTTAGTTGAGCCATCTTTGGATTGTCAGTATTGACAGGTGGGTCAGAGAGTCACCAGTCAGCAAAAGAATCAATTAGACTCTCAAGAGGTCCACTCCCCCTCTCACTTGGACGAACTCCTTTTCCCAGTCCTTGCCCACTTCAGACAGTCACTCTCTCTCTCTCCCTTCTCTCTCTCTCTTCTTTTCAACGGCGGGTCTCCACGGGCATCGGAAATGAACACAGAATGACAAACTGGAAAGCTTAGAGAAGAGAAGATAGAACTCCTAGCCGGAGTGGCATTTCATTTGGAAGTAGAGAGCAGCAGATGAACGAAAAACAAACGAATTCAAACGAGAGGTCTGATCCAACGACCCAGTCTGATCAAACTGCATACGAGGTCCTCTCCAGTCCAGTCTGACCAGCTCCGTGACCGTACAACAAATCAGACAACGAGTAACTAAATGCAACAATGGAGAATAGAGTGGTGTACAGGGTGCGAGTCAAGCCACGGACAGTGCAATCTGAAGACATGCGAAACGTCTCAGCCAAGATCCCCTCGGCAGTGGGTGTCCTAATCCAAGAAGAATGAACTCGTATCCCAGCCAAGAAGACAAGAGGTCAATGCCTAACCGATTTGGGTCCAGGGGCTCTTCTTGTTTGGGCCCGGTCCTGCTGGGTCCTGCTGGGTCCCACGTAAGTCTCAACCAGGTCCCAACCAAGAGGAGTTCCACATGAACTTAGTTCAGTCTCTACTGCACTGAAAAACGAAATTTCAACTTCTGGCAGAACCTACAGACTACAACCGTTCAGWGATGAAAAGRCAAAGCACWRTAKAAAGACTCGGCATTTAGATCAAGATACTTCATTTTCCATCCATCAGGTGAGTAGGTAGATCACATGCATTCAGTCACACAATCAAGACCACAGAGGAGTAGGAAAAGAAACCCAGAGTATCCCAGCAGGACAATCAATACCATACACACATACATGGGCATCCGGTAGGTGCACGACACTTACCTGAGTGGCCGTGAGCTTCGAGATGAAGAGAACTCACCCCCCTTCTCATGTGGTCCTCCTGACCCCTCTAACGCTACCCCTACACAAGTGTCCTATCTCCTAGGAGGGTCTGACTCCAACACCCAAGTGCAACGCCGGATCCCCCGTCGATGCTGAAGATCAAAGTAGCAACTTGCAGTCCGTTAATGTAGAGTGGTCGTTGACCCTCAAACTCGCCTACTTGCGGGCAGCCCTTAAGTCGCCAAGTGTCTCCCTTGAATCAGATTCCAGGTGCGAATGCCTCTCACTGTCGCCTCTCTCAAATTGCCGCATGAAGTCTCCTCGAAATGTCTCGCCACCCTAATCTTACTCTCAATCAACCTGGTTAGGTTCTATGTTGACCCCACATGACCTAACCGGGTGGGGGCAACTTCCCTCAACCACGCTGCCCCACTTCCCTTCTCCAACCAGCCCTTGCCCTAAGTGTTGCCCTCAACCACTTAGGTTAGGGTTAGGGCAGCAAGTCAACTCTCACCAGCAAGTAGAATCCGCTCTGATACCAATGTTATGACCCTGGCCAATTTCGAGATATACATCCACCGGAAGGTACAACATCATCCAATTGCAGAAAGAAATGAATGAACTTGAGAGAGGAGAGAGAGGATTAGAAGAAGAAGAAGAAGTAAGAAAGAAGAAGAAGAAGATGTACACCAGCAAAGACAATGACAAGGCTCTTCTTCTTCGCCCAACAATCTCCTCCTCCTTATCTCCCCCTTCTCCTGTTCATGCAAGAAATAATAATACAATGTTGAATGACTGATCCAGAATCAATGTCCGAGTTCCTCTTCTATTGCAGGTATCACTTCAGGTCCACCATAGCCATGGCCGCCTCCCTTCACTCTTCTATGAGGCCGAGGCTATGGCGGACTACTAGGCCTTGCCCAGACATCCAAAGGACAACCCAAAGCAGCTATGGCTGCTCTAGCTCAGGCCGCCATGCCCAACCCTGCCTTGAAGCTTCTTGGTGTAGCTCTCCCCAGTTGGGGATTCCCTGCTGCAGCGCCCACCAAGGTGATGAAGATGGCTGCCACCATAGCCAGGTAAGTACCCCTGGCGCTCCCCCCCCTTCCTTCCTCCTTCCTTTTCTTCCTCCCTCATGTCCTTCTCCTTCCTCCCCAGCAGCGCTGCTCCAGCCAGCGCTCCACCAGTGTGTCGCCAAACTTGAACACCGAAAAAGAGGCCGGGTCTTCCGCTCGGCCTGAAGATATAGCGGCCTGCTTTGCCTCTTGGGCGGTGACTTCTAGGCCGCTGGCCTTCCCAAGCMACCGGTACCTCCTCCTCTTTTGGAGGGAAACATCATTGCAGACTCTGATATTGCCCCTACAGGCCCTAGACTCAGACTGGTACCCGCTAGACCTAGCCTACACTACCGGCCTCTCAAAATGCCACTTTTGTCTTCTTCTGCTCGGCCTCTGGTACCCGCATATTCACCCCCCTGCCGGGTGCGGTACCGGCCTACCTGCTACTTGAGTGCTTTTTCCCCGCTGCAACCCTTCAAAGCCACGACCACAGGTAAGTACCGGCGTTGAGGGCCCAACGAACGAACAAGTGCCCTGGCGGGCCACACACACACTCATACCAACCAGCACTCAGACAGGCACAGTCACACGCACGCAAGCCAACCAGCACTCAGACAGACATGCGGTCCAACGAGCACACACACACACAGACTTAACAGGGGGGGACTCAGTAGGGCGTTCAGTCTATGAGCAAAACTCAGAAATCAGCTGTGTGTTTCAGTCCGTTTTTGGACGGGTTATCACACCACTCCTTAGATCCTCTGATTTTACTATGCTTATCGATCCCACCTTTACCTTGCCTTCCAACCTTCCCTTAGGGAGTGTCTTTACACGTCCCTACTCAGTAATACGTAGTACAACATCTCTGCTAGGCAATCCTCTTTGTAATTCTCACACATGCTCCTCGGGCTCTACCTGTTCCACAGGTTCCTCAAATAGTTGTGCCCCCTCTGCTAGGTAGTTTCCCCTCATCTTTATTTCCCTTAAGATTACTGGTTCATATTTTCAATAGGCCAGCCGTGGTGTCCCAAACACCAGAATGTCGATGAGCTCTAACAATTCCCAAGCCCCATTGCCCAGAATGGTCCGTGTTCTACCAATATGTCATGAAAAATCCCAATCGTCACGGGTTGAAAATAAGGTATCCATACTACGGACGCGTTTACCTGGTCCCTTGCCCTTGAGAGGCTTCCAAAGATGAGATCAATCATGAATCGGGGTACCTGGCACCGCAACTAGGGTGTTGGGGCCCTAAACCCCTGCCAGCCTCCTACTTCCACCCTTGTCCTTAACCCTACGTTCCTCCTCCCTCGATTTTCTTGACCTATTCGTGCCAACGCTCAGGCAGTCCTTTGGAAAATTGATGATAACCCATGCCCCTGGGCCATTCCAATCCCTAACAAGTGCCACCCAATTTCAGGTAGGTATACGGTCCCGGTTACCCTAAGGTTGGTATACAGAACATCCCCAGGTCCCTGATTGAACCTCATGACGCTTCATAGGCATTCCACCATCATGAAGGCGTTGTTTCTCCCTAAGGTTACGACCCACCATTCTACGCCAATCCCTCGAATCTCGTAGCATGCAGGGAACGACACCCATTGCTGCGCTCCACTGGCAAGCGAGGGTGTGCAGGTTGTCGCGGCTTCTGGATACATCTTGCCGCCATTGTCGATCGTTGAGCTCCTGCATAGCCCCAAAAAAAATGAATATAGTTTGGCCATCCTTATGCCTAAAAACGACTGATTACTTCCTTCCTTCCTTTTTTGTCTTCCTTCTTCCTGCATTGCTCCTGTCATCACCCCTGTTCCGTTCAGTATTCTTGAATAGTCCCTCCCTCCGGTAACTCGAACAATCGATATACATCGTCTATGTAGGTCAGCCTGCGGCTCACTACTCGCCTAATGACGCCCCACATAACTTTGTCACTGATTAGCGGGATTCTTGGTCTTGTTGTTACAACTGCGCGCAGTATGTGCAACACTTCATATCCCTGTTCTTCCTCAAACAGTCCCATTTCTAAAAAGGCCCGATAGTATTCCCGGTATGTCATGGCCCCCTCGAAGTCTAAACCGGCTACTGTTGCTTCCTTTTTATTGACGCGCTCCGCGCCACCCATTCGCTCTAACAAAAACGGTGGCAACCTCATTCATACGTTTTCACTTGGCAAAGTGAAGGTACCAGCCATAGTAGTTCTTACTTCTAACGATACGTCATCCAAACCGGGTTCTGCAAATGCAAACCCCTCCCGCCATGTTAGCTGCCATTCTCCTTCGAACATGTACTGGGGTCATCCTCAGATGCCAAAGTGATCCCAAAGGTACGCCAACCTTCCTTCGATAGGTACAATGTTCCCTTAGCATGGACGCACCCCTCGAGATCTAGATTCCAGCCCCCAAGTTCGCCCCTCGCATGCCATTCTAGTTCCACTATCAGATATACTATATGTTCCACAAGCTCTA